TCCCCTCCCCGTTCGGAATACACCCAGCACCGCCCCTCCTGTGGAGCACTAGGACAAGGCTGGGTGGGCTGTGCGCCCAGCGGAGTGCAGGGGAATTGGGTGGTGTCGGAGGGAGGCCAGGCCTGAGGGCCCTGAGAGTTTCCTATGCTGTGTTCAAATGCTCAATAAACCCTCCTGTTTTACGCTGACTGAGAGTCATTCCGGTCTAGAGCATAGGCGGCAAGTTATATGGGCTCGTGGTGCCCATGCTCCAGGAATATTCAGGGCCAGGGCCCTGCTCCACCAATATTTGGAGCTGGGTCTCTCCCCTGGCCCTGCCTGGAGTGGGCCCCCCCCTGCCTGAGCGTCCCCCACCCGAGCGTCTCTGCTGGAATGAAAGCTGCGCATGGCTCTCACTTGCCTGCCTGCACACGCTGCCGGCTGCTGCTGCCTATGGCAACAAGAGACGCCAGCAGCAGGCTGAGGCACCTGGCTGCTGCACTCAGGACCGGGAGGAGCACACATGTGCTTGGCAGCCCTTCCCTCCCCCTGGCACTCACCAGGAAGAGACGCGAGGGGACTTCCCACAGGAGACCTGATTATCTGCAGTGGACCTCACTCACCTGAGCAGCTGCTGGGGCTTCGGTGAGTGTTTGACCCTGTAATCTGTCCCTCCCCACAGCCACCACGCCTGCCGCACGCTGGGCAAGGGGCAGCCCCATCCCCCACCCCCCAGTGAGGCTACAGTGAGGGAAAGCAGGGGAGGAAGGAAGCCACATGTGATGGCAGTCCCCTCCCCCCGAGCATCCACCCACTGCAGGGGAGACAGGGTTGGGGGCTTCCTGGACCTAAGCAGCTGGGGCTTGGTTGAATTTTGTGACACCCTGCCCTCTCCCCCACCCACCACTCCTGCCCCATGCTGAGCAAGGGGAAGCCCCATCCCCAGTGAGGCTACGGTGAGGGGCAGCAGCAGGGGAGGCCACATATAATGGCAGCGCCCCCCCCCAGCATAGGGGAAGCGAGGGGGCTTCCTGTACCTGAGAGGGGCCCTAGGAGCATGTGCAGTGACAGTGGTGCAGAGTGATTGTGCTGCGGGGCAAGGGGGGAGGGAAGAGGAGAGGTCCCTCACCTGGAGCTCGTTGCTGCTGGTGCGGAGCAGAGTGGGAGAGTCCTATCTGACCCTAGCCCTGGGGCAGCTTATCTGCACCCCGAGCTCCTCATCCCCAACCCTGCCCCACCCCAGAGCCTGCAACACCAGCACCCCAACCCTGAGTCCCAGCCCTGAGCCCCCTCCTGCATTGTGAACCCCTCATCCCCAGCCCCACCGGAGCCCTCGACTGAAAAATTATTTGTGAACAACAATGGGCCAAGAACGTCTAAATCACTTGGCATTTCTGCACGTTCATAAGAACTCTACTCATAAGACATTGCAAGTCTCCTGGATGACTTCATTTCAAGAACCAACAACAACGAAAAGTGTTTGCTGCCTCCTGAAGAACATTGCAAAAGAAGGGGCTATATTTGTTTTAATTTTAGAAAGTATTTGCTTTTGAGGGTTATTGATCAAAAAGTGCTTGGTTGTTTCCATATTCAAAAGTGTATAAATAACATTGATATTATTAGTTAAATAATTTTTTCTTATGATAGTGATATTGTGCAATAAAGGGAAACAGTTAAACGCTTACAGTTTTCCAGTCCATTTTTACATTATTTAATAAAATATATATCGGCTTACAGGTCGGGTAGGCGGCCGGGGGGTGGAGGGGACTAGACCTATTCTGGGCACCACCAAAAATTATACAAATCTGCTGCCACTGGTCTAGAGAACAGGGTTGCACTATTTCCTCTGGGGAGTGGAGGCCCTGGGGGTCCAGAGCAAGTGGACTCCCTGAGGGGGCCCACGGCGAGAGACAGGTGTGCTAAGGCTCAGAGAGGTGCGGTTCCAGGAGGCAGAGGGGCTTAACCCCCGAAAGAGACTGGACCCATCAGGAGGAAACAAGGGGGCCCTGGGCTTTCTGTGGTCGGGACTTTGTGATTTTGACCTGGGGAATGGTTTGCCAGGAGACGTCCGGACTCCTGGGTTCTGTTCCTTCTCTTGCCTGGGCGGGAGTGTGGCCTGGGAGGTGAAGAGGGGGCTGCCTCTGTGACGATGCGGTTCTGGCAGGACCCAACTGAGAGTGCCAATTCAGGATTAATTGCTTAAAACAGGGCAGTTACAGCCCAAGGTTGAGGTTTTTCCACCTCTAAGGCAAACCAAACCAGCCAGACTAAGAGGATTTTGGTCTCACCCCACTGGCTAACCACAAGTCTTACAAGCAACTCCCTTAGCCACTCCAGTTTCCCAGTATCGCCACCAGTGCCACTCGTTATGGGGACAAATGGTTATGAAAACCAATACCCCAATAAAAGAAAAAAGGTTCTCCTGATCCCATAGGACCAAGCACCAGACCCAGATCAATATACAAATCAGATCTTAACCACAAATCATGCTGTTGCCAATCCTTTAGAATCTGAAATCTAAAGGTTTATTCATAAAAGGAAAAAGATATAGATGAGAGTTAGAATTGGTTAAATGGAATCAATTACATACAGTAATGGCAAAGTTCTTGGTTCAGGCTTGCAGCAGAGATAGAATAAACTGCAGGTTCAAATCAAGTCTCTGGAATTCATCCCCAGCTGGGATGGGTCATCAGTCCTTTGTGTAGAGCTTCTGTTTGTAGCAAAGTCCCTCCAGAGGTAAGAAGCAGGATTGAAGACAAGATGGAGGAGCTGCAGCAGCCTTTTATAGTCTTTTCCAGGTGTAAGAACATCTTTGTTCTTACTGTAGAAAATTACAGCAAAATGGAGTCTGGAGTCACATGCCCCAGTTCCTACATACTTCGCTGAGTCTCAAGGCATATTTGCCTTCTCTCAATGGGTTCATTGTATAGCTAATGGTCCTTAATGGGCCATCAAGCAGGCTAGGCAGAGCTAACACCAGCTTGTCTGGGATGTCACCCAGAAGCATAGCATAAGTTTGAAATACAGACAGTATAGAGCCAATATTCATAACTTCAACTACAAAATTGATACACACATATAGACAGCATAATCATAACCAGTAAACCATAACCTTGTCTTAGACACCTCATTTGACCCCCTTTATACAAGATTTGGTGCCACTACAGGACTTTGGTTGCAACCATGTTCTATATGGTCCCAGTTCAAATCAATAATGTCACAGCCTCTCCAAAGTGACCAATGGTCTTTGTGACTGACCTCACTGCTCTAAAAGGAGGAGATTCCCCGGGTATTGCAGCCCCAGGGGGAACATTGGGAGCAGATCATGCACTGAGCTCCTGTCAGTGTGCAGCTTGCACTCCCTGCACCCCTGTGCGGGAGGAGGAGCTGCTCTGGCTGGGGCAGGGATGGGGAGGGGCTTGACCCCAGACTCATGCCTACTCCCTGCTTGGTTCCAGGATGGCAAGGCTCCTGGGGATGTTCAGGAAGAAGGCTCTGCAGGTGGCCCCAGAGCCTGAGGGAAGCAGCCGCCATCTTCCCCAGGAGCAGAGTGGCCCCTCCGTCCCCGCTGGCGGGGAAGCAGCTCCCAGCCAGGTCAGGAAGTGGAAGTGCCCAACCTTCTGGCAGAGGAAACCCGCTCCCCCAGCAGGTGCCAGGCCCAAATGGAGGTGTCTCAAGATGCGTCTGGGCAGGCGGGACCCAGCCCAGGAGGGGAGCCGGGCAGGATGGCTCTGGGGCCTCTTGTGTGGGATGCACGGACCCCAGGAGCCCAGCTGTGATTCCCAGCAGGAGTCATCGCCCTGCGCAAGCACTGCAGACCTTCCAGCCTCCCCATGCCAGGAGATGGGGGATCTCTGTCCCAGCACCAGCAGCTTGGCTTGCTCCACGTGGACAGCAGCAGCTCCTGGGACTCTGGCAGCAGCAAGGCCAATGGGCACCACTGCTTTGTTCCAGGTGAGGAGCTGGGTTGGGCTCAGGGAGGGGTGAAGACCAGTGTTTTCCCCAGAAAT